ATCTATACCCCCAACCTTTCGTGTTCTTTGTCTAGTATGTTATCAGAATCTAGTGCTTTATTATTATTTTGTTGTTGTTATTTGTTTTAAATGAGACATTATTATTGCTGCTGCTGGTATTCTTTTTCTAGTAAAGACTCCTTTTGATTTACTTACCTGTTTACACCCTCTTTGCTAATCATTGTTTCTTGGATCCTGTTCCATTCTGCATTCAGCCTCTTTTATTCTGAAATAATAATTCTTTGGTCACATCTCTCAGTAAAGGTCTGAGAGTAGTAACTTCTTTCAGCCTTTGTGTAGAAAATGCATTCATTTTGCCCCTATTTTGAATGATAACTTAGTTGAATTCAAGGCTAAAGGTAATTTTTTTCAATATTTTGAAAATATTGTTTCATTATTTAGGGGTTTATTTTGCTGCCTAGGTACATTATATTACACAACACAATTGTTCTTTCTTCATGAGTAATCAGCCTTTTTTCTCTCCCTTTTTAAAATTAGGTGTTCTATAGATTCATTACTATATGGTTAGGTGTTGATTTGTGTTTATTTATCTAGCTCATGACTGTACTTCTTCAATCATATTTCTTTCAGTCCTGAAAACATCCCTGTCACGAATCCTCATTATTTCTATTCCCCCTTAGACATTTATTGCGATGTATCATTCCACCCTTTTTGTTTCCTATCTTCATGACTTCCAACAGCTATCTCTCTGTGTCATGTTCTGTAGATTTCATTCATCCTGTAGTTTACTAATTCTTTCTTTTTTTTTCTTTTTTTAAAGATTTTATTGGGGAATTGGGAGATGGGAACAGCGCTGGGGAATCGGGGAAGGGGAACAGACAAGTTGCTGTCCTTTTGTTCTTCAGTATAGTTGTGGAGGATGTTGCTTCACTGGCCCAAGTTGGCACCATCATTGCACTCCTCCCAGGCGAGGCAGATCTGGCTTCTGGATGGCCGCTCACTGCGGCTGCTGGCCGCTCACGCTGGCTGCTGGCTACACACGGTAGCCCATGGCAGCCCACTGCCACAGGTGCTGCAGCCTACGCCGTCGCCAGTGACTCACAGTAGCCCAGCTCCAGGTTGAGCTGTTGTTCAGCATCTTAGCTGTGGAGGGCAGTGTCACTGGCCCTCATATGTGGGATCCGAACCGGGGCCCTCTGGCATCCCAAGCCAGTTCTTAACCAAAGCGCCAGTCAGCCAGTCTTACTAATTCTTTCATCAGCCATGTCTAATCTACTGTTTTACTTATTAATTTCATGACTATATATATATATTTTTTTTTAATGCTATTTGATTCTTTTTCAAATTAATTTTTATTTTCAGTGCTGTCCTATTCTTTCAGTGGTTACTATCCTTTCTTGTATCACTTTAATAGCTTCAAACATATATATTTCAGATTCCTTCTTCGGTTTTCACTTATTGCTAGTTCCCAGGTACCTATTCACCCTTATGTTGTCCTTGTTGACCTTCCTGCCTGGTGCTTTATTTCCCCACATGTTTGGGACTTTTATTGTGAGCTCTTCTTCACCAAGGGTTTTTTTTTGCTTCTGGGAATCCATGTGCCCTGGATTGTGGATACATTTTTGCAGCACTGCTTTGCATTTTTCTTCTGCAAACCAAGACTCAGTTGTTTTAGACTCTTGAACTCAAGTTGTGCAATTTAATATCTCCATCTGTGACTTCCAACCCATCCAGGGAGTATCATGCCCGCACTTGCTCTTAGCACATGCTCATAATTTTATGGCTCATACAAAAGGCTTTATTTATTTTCACAGAGGCCAAGCCAGACCTCAGGCTGCCTTGCTATTTCTTTGGTGGGCATAGTTCTTCTAGTTCCCTACTCATAGATTAGATAGCTTTTTAAGGGGTCCATTTTTGTCCAATTCCCTCACCTTGCACAAGCCCAAGCTGGTGTCCTCTGTCCCAGGCAGGGGCTGACACTCAGGCTCCTAGTCCTATTTCCAGGGCCGATACCCCTCTGTGAACACAGCATCAGCTCTAGCAGCTCCAGCCCTGGAGTTCCTGCTTTGTTTCAGCACTTGAAGCTTTCCATTTCCTTTTTCTTTCAAGTTCAGCTATACATTAAATCTTTTAAAAAATTTTTTGCTTTAAATCTAAAGAAATCCAATATTTCCATGTATTTTAAGCAGGAGTAGAGTCTGTATGGACTCAGCCTACCATAAACCTTATTCTCTTTGTACTTCTCAGCCCAGAAGAATAACTGGTCCATACCAGGTGCTGGATGACTGGCTGAATGACTGAATGAATGAATGAATTTTTTTACATCCAGAAGCAGTGTTCCAGTGAGTAATGCCTCTTATCTCTCCAGAGGCATTGGAGCAAGCAGAATTTAGTTTTCCATGAGGACATAAATGAAGCGAGTTCTCAGTAAACAAAATGAAGAGACAATAGGACTTTTTACATGCTTTTTCTTTAAGTCCTGGAATAATGGGAACATTTACTGCCTCACACTGCTTGCTATCCAAAGGTAGACTAAAATGGACTGAGAAGAGAGTTCCAATACCATTTGCTGGTGGCTCCACACAGCATCTTTACCAGGGGAAAGATTAAAGCATCGCAGTGAACAGGACGCTAGCCCTGTTTATTTCCCTCTCTCCTCTATTTTGGGAAAAGTGTGCCTTTGATGAGATATAGCTGTGGGCTCTTGTTTTACATTTTACGTCAACCACCTTTGTTAGAAGCTGGTTATTGATGCCGTGCCCTGTTTTAATTCACACTTCTCAGCTAATCAATTACAGCGTTTATCCATTAATCAGGCGTTCTGACAGGGTCAATAACTGCTTTTTGGGTTTTGTGAGGGGCTGCACGTTATCAAGCAAGGAATAATGCCCAGGAGCTGACTTTAAAACAGTGTGACTTTCCCAGGCTGGTGGACTTCCGGAGCAATAAACATCTAGTGGGGATTTCATATGGTGGTTTTTTAATATATTTGGTTGATGGGACTTTCTCACTGAACACTTCATTAGCAGGGCTCAACATTAGTGAAGTGTGGACAGGTGTGCCTCTGTTTAAGAAAAACAGAAACATCAAAAGGTAATTATTCCCATCACATACAAATGACTGCATTTACCTGAAAGTAGCATTAAATCATGAGCTTCCTTCATTCATATTAAGTGTTTACAAACAATACCTTCTTGGCCATGAGCTTTGAGAGCAAAGAAACTTAAAGTCAAAATGTTTGGAGCTACAACTAGATGAAAACCAACCCAAAATGTAGAGCAAATGTATCTATATTTATAATGTGAGTCAAGCAGGAAATATTTTATAAACAAAAACTGAGTTTGTATTACAAATTTCCTAAAGCCCATCTTTTAAATAGAGCGTTTTAAACCTTTGTATCCACGTCCGCATACATGCGTACACACATTTTTCAGCACCTCTCAGCCTTTATAATCTGTTACAACAGATTCAGATCTTATAAAGTGCCATAGAAACAAAAACTTTTCATTTCAGCAAGGGTAAGAAACAGAGGTGATAACGTTTAATCAGAGAGTTACAGTTTGGGTAGTTAAGTTTACCATACATAATGGTGGCAACAGGTTTCGGTGGTCTTTTTTTATGACAGATGTACCAACATTTAATTGTTTTTCCTCAAGGGTGGAGAGAAAAGACACTTCTGTAGATTTTTCAATTCTCCTACATGTCACTTAGCTGTCCTCACCATTGTCTGAGCTCCTTTCTCTCATCCTTTTTGCTGCAATGAGTTGTGTCATTCCCTCATGATCAGTACTTTTGTTGTCTTTGTTTTTTGCTGTACCTCAGAAGTCCATCTTTTCTTTCATCTCCTTCCCATTCATGCATGAGGGAGCAGTTGTGCCCTGTTGTGGGGATGTTCCGCTGGGTTTCAAACAGTAGGGTTTCTTTTTCTTCTCTTCTAAGTAGTACAATGGGGCTGAATGTCTGTCGCAGAGTGCACGCACTAATATGCCAGGTTATTTGGTTTCTAAGAAGTCAATAAAAATACTACATTTAGGCTTAGTCCTTGGCGTGCTTTTTCCCTGTTTCCCTTTCAAGTCTTTGGTTTTAAATCTGTTTGTTTCTGATCAGAAAATATAATCTTCCGTATTAAACCGAAGCGTGGAATCAACAAACACTTAGAGAAAAATGTTCCTGGCGGTGGAGTATTTTTCACACCAGCAGATTTGGCAGCCTGTACCCTCCCTCGATAAGAGCCGCAAAACAGCCGCCAGTTCTCATTAATGGCAGCTACAGCTCGGGGAGGATGAGAAAAAGAATGGATCCCAAGTTAGTCTTGGCAAAACTTTCCAGTGTAAGAAACCAGCGCCTCTCGGCATGTAGAAGGGTGCAGCTCTGACTGTTTTCATCCTGATCACCTCGCCCAATTCTTGTTTTGGGGGAAGGTGTGAGCACGAGTGTACCTAGTTATAAACACCGACCCAAAAGGCCACCCCAGCAGCAAAAGGCTAAAGATATAAAAAGCTAGAGATGTCTTAAGACACTTTGTTCTCAGATTCAGGAACAATCTTCAAAATCCTCCTTAATGAGGTCATAAAAGAAAAAAATGGAACAAGTGTTCCTTGTGTATCTCACTGGGGCATGTCTCAGGGTCACTTGCCACCAGTATCCTATTTAAAAAGGGATTGGGGTAGTTCAATCAAGCATTGCATTAAGAGAGAGACTTTGATTAATTCCTTCTCTTTTCTTTTGTGCCACAGATAATTTCAGTAAATTTGTGATACTTTCTGCTTAGCCATCGCTGAGGCTTAAAGTTCTCGGTGCGTCATGCTGAGTATTAGCATTTCTCTGGCCTACTTGGCTATGGTGAAGAGGAGCGGATGCTGCAGACCGCTCTAATCTTTGACATGCAGGGCCGGTCTTTAAATGTGACCGTTATCTGAGATCTTGGCATAGGGAAGAGCCCACTCTCAGGTTGGTGGCAGAAAGAAATCTTGGTGGAAAAGAAGGGGAGACGTAACAGTAAGTAAGATGGTGATTTACCGTGGTTCACTTCTTTAAAGGTACTGGAACTGCCGCCTACTCAGAAAATCACAGTTTGGAGAAGTTTCAGGAATGGTTCTCAAAGGGAACAAAAGCAAGAAAGGGACAAGTGAGGGCTGCCAATGTGTGCTATCACCGAGGCTCCTGTAGGAGAGATGGAGATTGGCCCCAGGCTGGTCAGGATCAGGTAGGAAACTGGATTCTATTGTCTCTTGGTTTATTTTTTAGTTTACTTACCATCTTTGTTGAGCGGCCATCAGAGATAGGAAGGTGTATTTTAGTACTATGCTATAGAAACCCAGTGGCGAATGTTAACTCTCTTCATTGTTTTGATCTAGAAACTGGTTAGGATGTATTTAAAGCACTTAGTTAAAAAAACTCAGTTCACATACCTCTTGGATTTTATAAGCTGATTTTGGAAAGATATATGTTTCCCTTTTTGCAGATGCCAGGTCTATTAGGTATCCACACATTTAGGTGTCATTGAAAAAGTGGGACTTGGGTTCTGATGGACTGGAACGGCTCCCGGAGGGAGGGGGTTGAGGGGGGGTTATTGTGGTGGTGTCAAGTACCCTTTTGTTTGTGGTTTAGTCGCTATATACACTGGATTGATTTTTAGGGCTGCTGCTTTCTGCTCCATGAATTCAGCTACTGCACATGCGCATGGAGGCAACAGGTAAATAGTCCTGACTTAGAAGATAGTTTTGGGTATGGATAGATAGAATCCCAGCTTTTCTAGTGGAAGCACTTGTTTTTCAGTTGAAAGAGGTAGTTGAGTTTATTTTAATGAAATTATTCATCAGATATGTTTATGTAAACAAGGCAAGATGTCAGAATTAATTTTAGAGTATGTTTCATGATAATTAACTACTACTTTGCTAAAGGCTTAATAGCCAATCATAAGAGAGTTTTAAAATTATTATTTTAAAATGAGTAAGATATTAGACTTCTCGTTGATTCTTTTTTGGTACTGTTCCCAGATTAAGGACCCAAAGATGAACCTGTTTACTTATCAAATGTTATTTATTGAATTCCGACTTTCTGCCAGACTCATAATATTATAACACTATTGTTATAACTGTCAATGTCATTGGTTTTTAATTCATATGTGCAGTGATTATTATAAATAGTGGACACCCCGAAATATCCTAGTGTTTGAAAATCAGCTTTAACTCTCTGTGGGGGTGATCGTATTTTCTCTGAAGCATGTGTGTGAATAGATTACTCAGACCTGACCATAGTTCTTGGAATGTTAATAGAAGTAGCGTGATTGATAGATTTTTCCAGATTTGAGACTGGAGAGAGCCATGGAGGCAGACTGGAATCATGGAAAGGACACAGGCTGTCACTTCCTTTCCCTGGCCTGAAAGGGAAGAGCTGCCCAGGGCTTGGTGTGAGAATGAAGTTCTCTGAATGTGGTAAAGCAGGATGTCCCTTCCCCCACTCCCTGATTCCTAAGAAACAGTTAACATTCTGATTCCCATTATGCCCGCTGAGGGCCAGGAAAGTTACCTGGCCAGTTCTTCTCTGTGCCACCAAAAAGGGTGCAAGGATGTGTATTCAGAACCTCAATCCTGTGAAAAATACCTCAAAGGCTTTTAGGTCCCGAGAATACACGCCTCACTTGCTTACTGGAAGCATAATGGCAGATATTTAAACTATTTGCTCCAGTGGGAATCTTCCCAGTGTTGCTTTTTTCACAAAATCGGCGTGGTGATTGCTGGGAAGAAAGAGGCCACAGCCTTAACTTCCTCCGCGAAGTCGAGCCTGCCGCCGCCACATTTCTTCCAGGGCTGCGGGCTTTTTCAGATAAAGGTTTCAGAGGGCAGGCTGGGTGGAAGGTCCTCGCGTGAAATCAGAGGAAAGCGGACCTCCCGGCACCTCATCTTCTGAAACCAGGTGGAAAAAGGAATGACCACGAGCACGTTTCACCCTCCCCCAAGCCTCCTTCCGGTCAGGTCTAGCTAGGATCCAGAAAATCAAAACAGTAGGCCACCTCGTCAATGGGCTGTTTCCCTTGAAACAGGCACATAAGAGATCTGGGCTGAAAAATATACCTAAATTTCTCGTCCATAGCAAACGTGTAATAAGTGCTAGCTGAAGAAAAGTGTCCTTTATACTGCATAACAGATCTCATGGGAAATGCCTTCAGGTCTTTATTTACAGAGAATGTTGGTATTAATATTACAGATCCCATTATAGTGCTTTTAATGTTTTGTAATGAGTATTCCCCCAAACCCATTCAGTACAAACTGGGTCCTTCTCAATACTTAATTTAACCGCAGCCATCTTTTTGAAATATCCAAGACAGCTGTTCTGCTTCGGAAGGCTGAAAACTTGTTTCTGCATAATCATGTTCTAGAAGTTCTATAGGGCCTTGCTGTGAGAGCCAGGGAGGCATAACGGCGCGGACCATCCAACTGTCTTCTTCCTGTAGCTCAGGATGAAGAACCGCACTGAAAGGTCCTTCTCATCTTAAGCTGGACACAATTAGCACTGAGAAGGAAGATCTGGTCTGATTTCTCTTGACTTTTGAGAAACATGAGCCGTAAAGGAGGAAGAGAGTGACTTTGCGTGCTGTGGTAGGCCTTATACATTGTTGGTGACCCACAAAGGTACTCAGGCATTCTATGGGGATAATGTATACGTGATCTTAGCCAAAAGGCTCTCCACTTACAGGTCATCTCCTAAGCCTTCCTTCAATGGCCTTTTTGACTGGACTCCTTTGTCAGCCATCTGCCCGAGTATCGGTTGTGCTGAAGGAAAAGCAACAGGGAGTGTTGGCTGGCGTCTCTGGCCATAACTGTTTCTCTGAGGCGTAGTTCCATCTGGTCAGTGAGATGTGTACCTTTGGACACATAAGTGTATTTGGGGCTGTCTTCAGAGTCTGATGGGCTTTGGAAAAGTACATAGTGGGAGTTGGGGAAAGAGAGGCCAGAAGATACATCCTCACTCCCCTCCTCCAGAGGAGACCAAAGAAAGGGACAATGGCCCATTGGTGAGTCACTCAAGAGTCATTGAAGAGATTCTTTTTCTTTCTCTGTCAATTAACAAATTGTGACTTGCATCAGGCGATCAATTTTATAAAGAAGGGAGACAGAGGGGCGCTGCCTCCTAGACTGCTTTCAGCCTGTACTTGAGTGTTTCGCATGTATGACTGTCCTGTCTCCCAAGTGCCACCACCCCCGACACCCCCGACACCCCCTAATCAGTGCTGTGTGAATATTGTTAGCGCCATTGCCAGACCAGCCACTGGCCAGAGGGGGCAGGGGAGGGAGTGCTGTTTGGTCCCATCTTTCTAAGATCTTGTCACAGGAGTTGTGGATTGCCAGGAAACCTGTGGGCACTCAGGAAGCTGGCCTCTTCGGTGGGCAGCTAAGGTCTCAGGTCCTAGGTGAATGTATCCATTCAATATCTGGGTTTGCCTTTCAGAAACTGATGAGCAGAAGTGGTACAACCGATCCCCACCACAGTCTGCCAGTGCATGGACAGCATGGCAGGCCCGGGGGCAGGTGGCAGGTCCAGTGAGTGGGCCTTACTGGGGGGAGCCCCGGCACTGGCCGTGTCTGGGCAGAAAGCATTTGGCTGCTTTGCTGACCTCTTTCTTTGTGAGAGCCCGGGAATACCACATGAAACACTCTCCCTTCATCCTTCTCAGGACACGCCATACTAGGCCCAAGAGGAGGAGCAAGATGTTTCCATCCTGTGTGGAGATGGGGCAAGACTGGGGGACGGGGTGCCTCTGAGCAGCAGCCTGCAGGGGGCTGGCCACACAGAGACCCCAGAGGCCCGGAGAGCAGGAAAGCAGCCTGAGATGCTTCTGCAGGGAGGGCAAGGGGCAGATGCCACAGCCTGGGGCCTCAGGGCGAAGGGCCATGGAAACCATGGCCGGGAACATGGCAGCACAGGAGCCCCGGAGCGAGCTTCCCCAGATGGGGTGTGGGAAGGAAGGTTGTGGCTTTGTTGTACTTTGTTAATACAGACCAGATACTGGCAGGTTATACTACATAAAGGAAAATAAATGTGGATGTTAAAGTTATATGGATTGGTATAGTCAAAATTGGACTAGCAAAGTTTGCTTAAAAGCTGAAGATGACTGTAATTTTCTTTTTTTTTTTTAACTTTTTTGGGGAACAGTGTGGTTTTTCCAGAACCCATCAGCTCCAAGTCAAGTCATTGTTTTCAATCCAGTTGTGGAGGGCGCAGCTCCTTGGCCCATGTGGGATCGAACTGGCAACTTTGGTGTTATAAGCCTGTGTTCTAACCACCTGAGCTAACCAGCTGCCTGAAATGACTGTAATTTCTTTACTGAAATGAAAAGCCTAGCAGCAGAATAAATGACTGTCTAGTTTGCTTTAAAAAGAAAAGGATGAATGCCTCAAAGCGTCGAAATAAAACTTACTGATGATTCCACGGGAAGAACAGAACCATTTACAATTGGTTAGGCTGTGATGGGGGATGAAGGCCCATTTACTGACTCTTATAATTTAAAAAATGCTTTACAATAATTATTATCAACATCATATAATTAAGGAAGGGAAATTTATTTCAAGCTTATTTGAGATATTTGACTTTTGCATTCATTTATTTACGCATTTCCATATTTAATTATCATCTATTATATGCCAGGTATAGCACCAGAGTCAGCGAAAAGAGTGCTTCCAAAAGCCATAACTCCCTAAAATCATGCCTCTTAAAGTCAATTCTTTGTCTCTATCCCTACCCCCCCCCCCACCTCCCCAACCTGACCCCACCCCGGTCATTATCTCCTGTTTTGCCCTATCATTGTGATCAGAGATTTAGATTATTTTTAAAATTTTGTAACCCCGATGATGTAATATGCAGTAGGGATGGGTAGAGAAGAGAAAACCTTTAAGAAATTTTAATTACTAGGGAGTTGGCTCCATCAGGGAAATTAACAGACTTGTCCCTGTAGACATGGAGGGCTGCTCAGGCTGACCTGAACCCCTGTTGTAATTTGAATGCTTGAAACACTTCCCATTTTATTGTCAAAATTACTGCCTTAACTTCCTCCTTGTCCTCATTTGCCTATTTCCCTTGCTTTTTATCTTGTGCACCTCCAGTGTACAACATAGTGGTGCTTAACTACTTCCTGAAGGCATTATTAGTCATCGGGAGCACCAGTTCGTTATAGATGCAGATAAATGGGGGGTTCAGCCATCAGCT